TAACCTTAATTTTAATTCATGCATTGTAGACAGAAAATTAAAAGCTTTAATAATACAGCCATTAGATCTTATGCTTTATTAAAACTATTTGCACACTCTTTGTTGCACTTGTGAGACCTTTCAACGATACAAAACACACTTTTAATACATAAAGGAGCAGAAACTCTCAGGGAAACAGAAGAATATTAGAACAGAGTTCAATGATGTAAGAAAGTACCTGGATAAAAATCCCCTTGCGCAAACATGTCAATCACATAGCGACAGAATGCATATTGATCTAACAGAGCAAAAAGGAAAAAAAGAGTAATAAAGAAAGTAAATTTAAAATGTTCCTATTTTACAGTGAAGATAAAGCTTGGCAGCGCAAAGACATATTTCAGGGATAGTCTTACTTACATGCTTGGGTTTTTTTCCTGGCCTTCAAGTAATTCACATGTTCAGAAAGAGGCAATTTATTGTCCAGATCTAACTCAAGCCTCCCGGCCAAGAACTTCAGAGCTACCAGTGCTCCAGAGCTGCCAGCTCTTCTTCTAGGCTGGCAGGGCATAGTGCGTGCCCCAGGCCAGCAGGGCGCAGCCTCGGTTTTGGCATACGTCCTGACCCCATGCACAAGTACTGTGCAAACTGCTGCCTGGCCGCAGGTCCCAAAGACTTCTTTTTATCCTTGAGGATCAATTTAAATATTCGCAGCCAGGCGATAGAAAAATTCAATAAAGTTTTATGTCACAGTATTTTGTTAATATTGTTTTAACAGTATAATCAATATGTACATTTAGTGAATGGGAACATAAAGAGAACTCTGTGTACTTACGCTCCTGTAGCAATGAGATTTTCCACAGGATTTTATCGTTTCACTACAGAATTATTTTCCAGACACAAATCTTTACAAATATATACATGTATATATTAAATCTGGAGATATATATATTAAAACTATGCTATACAGAAATTAAGGCTTCTGAATCTAAATGAAACTCTCATTTCAGAAATGTTGATTGTCTGTTGATTTCTCCTATACATAAGCAGAGTTGAAGACCTTAATAAAAATTTCTAATGATAAGAATGGTGAAGAAGTTACCAGTTGTAACTGAGTGCAAAAGAATTGCAATATTATTGCTGGATTCTTCAGTTGGCCAGAAGAAAGCACATTGCCCCACTGGGCTCTAAGGGACATTAGCTTTGAAAGTTAATGTTGATGACTAAATGCCAACTCTGGTTAGCTGAGTTAGTTCTCAACTGTCCTTGAGTTAAGCATATTCATCCGTCTGTCCTAGACTGTTCTAGCACAGTTCCTAGGCTACAGAAACTACATCTCTTCCTCTCTCCACCTCCTGTTGCACCTCTCTCCTACTCACCTACAAAGCCACTTACTTTCTCTTTGCCAACTTCAAAACAAAATTATGCAGACTTCGGAATACTTAAAATTTTAAAAATGACATAACTGTTATATTTAAATGCAAAATGTCATTCCCAAGTACGTAGCACTCATTGTAGTATTTGCTTTCTTACATAGTTCACTGGAGCATCAGTATTAGTTGATGCTGAAGATTTTATGTAATTGCTGCTCTGTTATGTTGACTGCCATAGAAGTCCTTGGGTGGAGGACTGCAGCTTTCAAGTCATGATTTCCTATGCGGTTGTAGAAATTAGGAAAGGGTTTACAAGCTCACCAAATATCCAATTGTTTCTACTAGTTGATAGGAGCCCATGCAGCTATTTCACTGAGACAGCGAGTGTAATACTAGTCAGTATTGTAGAACCTGGGGCAAACCTTTCAGGATGTACACAGGGCTGTGGCTATAAGCATTGCTTTTAAAACCTTTAATGACTATTCATAATAGTTTCTACTTTCATATTTAGGAATTCAAATTTATCATTCTGGCTGGCTCCAGCTTTGGATTCCATCCTTAAGGAATCTAAAGAATTTGGCTGCAATATCTGCCCCAAGCCTATGTGCTAATTTTCTGAAAAAAGTAGCAGCGTATGTCTGAGAAAACAAGTATGTACAAATCTGTGCTCTCGGTAAGCCCATCTAAAGCCACTGAAATCATCAAAGTGTTTGCACTGACTTCAACGCACTTGCAAATAGGGCCTCAGGGAATATTGATAAATAAAATGGACCAATGCCAATTCTTTAGCCCAGAAAGCAAATGCCAGGGCACAGCTCTTGCCCACAAAGCTGAGTTTTCCTTACCCTTCTTTTGCCAAAACAAGCTGCCTTCATCCATGCTGCCCATTGGGAAGAGCCCCTACTGTTTTGGGGCACTATAAAAAAGACTGCTAGATGGCATGGGACAAAACTATGTTGGGCACATAAGCTGTATGGACAATCACAGGACAGAGCACAAGCCTGTGTTGGTTCTATTTAGGTTATGACATAGACATAGCCTGAGGGCCTAGCAGCTCACACCATTTCATTGATATTAAACTAATAAATTTTTTAAACATAGTAATATAGACCAGGATTAAAACAGACTGTGGGTGTTTGGGTTGTTTTTTTTCTGTTTGTTTTGTTGTTGGCGGGGGGGGGACAGGTTGAGTGTGTGTTTTCATTTGTTTGTTAGTTTTGGTTTTTTTTGGTGGAAATGTAATTTGAATAAACTTAAAAAAAAAAAGCCTTAGTCTTGACTGTACCTGAGAAGAAAGATTTTGTATTAATCTTCTCCTCACAGGATATCTTTAGTAACTCAACCCCTGAAAACCGGGATTTATAAAAAAAATTGAAGGCAGAATGTTAAACTCTGTATAACAAAAATAGCATTTCTACTATAAAACATAAGGTGCACTCTAACATCCCACTGAAGTTCATGGGAATTCTGCCAATCAGCAAAGATTGAAATCTAAGGAATTTTAAATGAATATGATTTTCCAAATATCTCTTCATGGCTAAAAATTCGTTTTAGTTTAAACTCTCTTATTAACAAGATAATTTCACACTATAGTTTTCACGTTATAACTCTGTAATAGTGGCACAAATATTAATTTGAGTACTAATAAATCACATCAAACTTTGGGACTGATTCTTATTGATAAAAACGGTTATAGATATTTCTGTCATTGAACCTCATGTGATTTACCCCAGAAGATGACCTATCGTTTTTAATATTAATTTGAGTCGGAAATGATGCAACAGCAGGGAAATCATAACAAATCTGTGATTACTGTTTTTTTTTTTTACATTGTTGCAGAAAAGCTGGCAGAACTACTCCCTTGAGCAAGGAAAAGTAAGGATTGCAGGATCAGGAAATCTTGGCAAAACTACATTGACTTCAAAATTATGTTCACCTTGGGTCACAGTGGGACTGAAATACAGAACTGAATTTTCTGAGAGTACCCAGCTGGGCAGCAGTGGTGGAAAAAGGAAGGACAAATGCAGAAAAGGCAGCTTTCACTGAACGTGTGTAGCCCTATCTCCAGTGATAAGGGCAGCTGAAGAGGCTCCTTCCTTCCTCCACTCCAGCTGCTCATTCCCACTTTCACCCGCCACGGTTCAGTGCACAGTCACTGGGGTCACACTCTAAAGGAGATTTACAAAGTGACCTGTTAATGTTTGATGTTAAGATGGATCGTTTTGCTAATATTTATGAGTTAAAGGGGGGAAAAAACCCCACAAAAACCAAACCAACAAACAAAAAACCACCACCACTCTCTATTGCTGTCTGTAATCTTTGACCCCTACTTACTTAAAATATTTTGCTGTCAGGGAGTAAAGTGCCTCATCTGCACACCATTGCTTTTTGAGAGCCTTGTCCTGAACAGTATGGAGTGGATCCCACTGTGCACTGCTCTGTCAGAGCAAACAAAAACTGAAAGAGATTTGCACCTCCCAAGAGGAGCTCAACAATTTGCTGAACTTTCCCCTTGGTCACAGCAATCAGCATGAAAGATGCTGCTTTGATTTCATGCCTCAAAGGCTCCAGTATTTCAAGTAAAAACCAAAATTAACAAGAATACAAATAAATGCTAAAAAATACTGGTTCAGCACACTATGCATGTCAGAAAGGGGGCTATGTCTCAAAATCTCTCCTTTCAGATTTCTAGAAACATATAATTTAGGCAACTCCTAAGGGGTCCAGAGCTGATGGCTATGAAATTCTGAGAGAATCTGCCCGGGCAGATTCAGATATCCAGGCAGGGATGGCTGCTCTGATGCTCAGGCATAACGATTTATCTGTGGTTATCGGCTGAAAGGATCAGATAGGTGCGCCACGCAACGCTGAGCTGCCTCTATTAATGTCAGAATAATCCTGTGCCTGCAGTGTGGCAATATGTACAGAGAGCCAGGTCCTGCCTCCTTCATTCATACAAAATTGTACCTAATGCCATGGAGAACCACAGGGAAATCAGGGAACCAGTCAGTGCAACTTGGGAGTGGAAGAACCCAGGCTAACTCTGACAACGAGGAACGTATAGTTGACACCTGCGTTTGGCATTGATGCATGTCGATTCTTTGTTTTGTCACTTAATTTCTTACTTTCCCAGGGCGGCATTTCTTTCCTTTTTAGGAGAAATTCGGAAGCTGATCACACCAAATTACATCAGGCAGGTATATCACTATGTCATACAATACCTGACAACATGACAATGCCTCATATAATCTGATGTAATACAAATTATTACATTCCCTTTCCTCTGCTGCTACTTTCCTTGTTGTTAGGGAGGACATATGCAGATGTAGAAGCAAAACATAATTCCCAACAGGTCATTGGACAGCCTGTATTTTCCAAAATAACTTTACTAGCAATACACTACATAAGATGCTACTGAGCAAATCCATGAAGACTCCAGCCTATCTGAAGATAAATTGGTCCTTGTTAAAGAAGGATTTAAACTAAAACGAATCTTTAGCCATGACAAACAGTTAGAACATTCTGGTTATTTAGATTAAACTTATTTTATTCTCAATAGTCTCCTTCTAGAGGTCTGAGATTCATCTGGAATTTATTTGTACTGCACTTTTGTTTTTCATGTGTGGACTTTGGTCCTTGCCAGCTTTAACTTCATTGTCTCTGCTTCTTCCCTACTACCTTTTTAAGATCTTCGTCTGTTTCCTCCTGGTTTTGTTTACCTTTCTTTTCCGATTTAGTTACAGTCTGAAGAGCTTTCTCCTCCTTAATTTTCGGTTTGGCTTTTATTAGCCCAACTTCTGTTGTTTTAGTCTCTGCCTGCTTGACCTTCTCAGTCGTCTTTGCTTCTCCTTTTCCATCCTTCACTTCCTTTTTAACTTTTGCTTCCACGTTAGTGTTCTTTATTTTCTTCTCCTCTGCAGGTAATAAAGAACAATCTTTCAGTGTCATTCTTGCCCCCCAGAATAATACTCAGTACCATTTATTTTATCTTGTGCTACTACTAATGAGTTTTTCTTCATCATTAACACCTTGCTCAGATCTGATGAAAGCTATAATCCCCCCAAACCAGACAGACTTAGACGGAAATATGAGATGCAAATATGTCTTGTCTTCAGTCTTGTACCGAGTATTTGACTGATACCAAGCATAGTAGGCTCTAGCAAATAATAGTCAATGTTTCTAAGGACAATATGCTAGCTTTTATGGTATAAACTAGGGAGACAAATGTTGGTCATGAAGCAAACAAATATGGAAGGTACTTCCAGACTAAATCTGAGTAACTTTAGAATTCAGAGATCAGAGCTAAACTCTGTTGTAAGCTGTAAAAGTAGTTGATTTAAAGTGTGGCTATTTGTAAGGGTCACTTTTATGCACCGGTTCCAGGTCTCTGCCCAAGAAGTCTTGAGTTCTTGAGTCTTTTTCTACAACAATTCCACAAGCTGAAAGACTAGTCTGAGACAGGCCAATTCATGATGTGCCCTGCAGCAGAGTGAGAAGGCTTCCAAGCAGAATTACTGAATTGCAAATATCAGTGGCTGAAGGTACACAGAGGCTGGTGAGACCAGGACTATTCCTTCTGCTCGTATGTACCAACAGCTTTTTCTCATCTGAGACATGGATGGTGACAATATGTGTGTTTCTAGTTAAAAATTCATTTAAAATGCCACGGAATATGGTTTAAAGTAATCTGTTTAGTGTGATGTTCACACTTCTGTTTTCTTTGTAGCTCTAAAGGTCTCCATCCTTGAGGCAAAACTTGAATGCTACAAAATCCATGTCTTCTGTAAGGCACTGGACTTGTATTTCCATTAAGCCACTGGGCTGACTAGACTGATTTTATCAATATGTAAACTGAATAGTTCTACCCATTCTAAAATAGAATACAGATATTTATATAAGGGCAATTCCTACTTACTAACAAAGCCACAGCATGACCAAATATTGCTGGCTAGTGAAGAAAGTATTTCCTTAACTAGTTATAGTGAAAATGTATATGTCAGATCACTTACAGATAGGCCTACTTCTTTTTCAGGGAAATGGTGGTTCATACCTTTAATTCTCATCTTTGAAATTTCAACAGGTTTTAAAAGGGATCATGCATAGAACTAACCCTTGGATGTTCTAGAGACATTTTAATTTGAATTATATTTTAATTTCATTATAGTGTCATGTAGCTGATTTTTCATACACATATTCTCTGCTCCAATAAAATAAAGTTCATGGATTTAATGAAAATTCTGGTAAAAAATGTAGTATAAATAAATAAATAACTACCTTTGGGAGGAGGTTTCTTTTCAGCTCTTTCATGTCTTTCAGGCTTGTCTTTCTGAATTACTAGAAATGAGTACAATTGCATATTAGGAAAAAAAAAAACCCTCATAAATAATGACAAAATATTGCTAAAACACAACAACATCCCTGGAAGTTTCACAGTTCTTCATGATTCCTGTGTTTCAGTTTGCAAAATTCTTGCTTCTTTTTCACAGGTTCATGCACTGGGTAAAAAGCTTCAGAATATCTGTTGAGACTCAGCTAACCAGGAGACAAGGCAGTCACACAGATCTGAAGCGTTGTAGGGAATGTTTATACTGCATATTCCAGATGATACAAACTAGGTCTGCTCAAGCTCCGAGCAGACACAGGCTTGATCTTCTTGTGTTCCAGCCAACAAGAAGCCGTGTGACTACATTCGTCTTACAGAAAGGAAATTTTCTTAGCTTGGGCTCGCTGTCATACAAACACAGCCACAAGCCTGGTGCTCACTTCAGAGCCCAGCTCGAGTGAGTTCATGGCTGCACAGGATACACTGTGTAAACACACACTCTGCTGTGTCCCAGAAAGGCTGTAAAAATTTTATGCAGAGACTTCTATCTTTCCTCTCTTGGTTGCCATCCAGACTTATTGCCGGAACAAAACAGCCTTGAGAGTTAATGACACTTCTTTCAAGTGATAACTACATGATAGCAACATCCTCTCTAACTGAATTCCAGCCTGGAATTGCTGCCTAGATGAGCCATGATTGTTATTTAGGCTTGTTTTTCTTTTTTTTTAAGATAGCTGTGTCTTAGATGACATGTTTAAATAGCTTCGTATCACTGAAGCTTTCTGGAGCCTTTAACAGGGGCTGAAGAAGTACCCTAAGTCTTTTTATTGAGCGTAGAGAAAATCTCCTGACTGTGGGGGAAGTAGCCACCTGATTTTCAGTACGCTTGTTCCCTGCGGTTGGCCTGGACCTGAGCATCCTCACTTCCTAGGGACTGCAAGTGGTTGAAATGGCCCCTCGGCACTGCTGGTAGCTGATCCAGTTTAGAGCAGACCCCAGACAAAAGGGAGGTGAGCCTGGCACTGGACAGCTCAGCACACCGCCGGCATAAATGTGCCTTAGGAAGGGCTGAAGGCAATGAGTGCCCCAGCGCACTGAGTCCAACCACAGGGACTTGCATGGCATGGAAACTACTCAAGAGAGGGTAGCATGTCTGTATGTCATACTGCAGCAGCAAATCTCCCTAGCTACAAAGTGGCCAAATTCTTCACAAAATTTTCCAGCCAGTGACTGGAGTCATGGCTGCTATTAAACACATTAAAGCTCTAAGTGATTTGGTTAGCTCGGAGGAGATAAATGGGTAAACAGGCTGGCTGCTCATTAGGAATATCTCAGTGATCCTTGGAAGCTATTTGCATTTCAAATCTACACAGACACCGGGGGCATTTATTTTCTCTGGATTACTTCAGTGTGATTTTGCTGTATAAAAAAATCCTACACTTTCAAGTTATACAGTGAAAGTAGAAAAAATGACCAAATACCCCTTTTAAAGAGCAACTGGACAATGGCTACCTATCAAAGTCTTTTAAGGCTTTAAGTGTTCATTCCACTTTTTCTCTTTCTTCACTCCCACTTTCTGTTTTCACGTTTCTCCTTAGAATAAGGTTGAGTCCAATAAAGACTGATTTGTACATTTGAATCTATATTGTCTGAACGGATTCAAATTAAACCTGATTAATTCATGCATCTCATCATGAGATTAATCTGAATGCTATAACAGACTGATATTAAGATACATTGCATAGTATTTTTTCAAGGGTCAACTGAGTAAAAGTAAGAAGCGACAAAGACTGAAACCTAACTTCTTTACAGAAATATCTGGCTTCCAAAAAGCAATGCATGTAAAAAAAAAAAGAAAAATTCAGAGCAAAAACATTCAAATGCTAAGCAATAATAAATGTTAGTCTTGGCATAACAGGGCAAGCTGATTGGATTTTTAAATCCCCCTGTCCAAGTCATGGCTCAAGATGGAATTATCAGTCAAAAGAACACTGAAAATCACCTCTCATACACAATATTGCTTCAGAATATATATGATAATTAGTAGATATGTAAATCTTAACCAAAGCCACTTCTGCCATGGAGGACAGTACAAATCATGTACTGAAATGAAAATGTTATTGCAAAAAAATAAAGGCAAGAAAATGAAAATCTATTTTTGGATATGATGGAAGACCCAGATGGAGAGTTAGTAAACACTCTTGCATTAGGTCTGCACCAGATTGAAAACTGATACACAAGAGAAAGCCTTCTTTGCAGACAAATTACTGAATCCCATTGTGGAGGAAAAGACATCAAGGAATGCAAATATAATAGTCATAGGCTTATTTCTTTAGCTGCACAAGAATGATTCATAATTACCTCTGTGCATCAAAACAAGAAAACTGAGCAGGAAATACATGCTGAGCAAGACTTTACTAAGGGGCTGATCAAGACCTGCTCAAGCAAAAGTGAGAGCACCCAAAAAATGTAAAGCATGGACTAGAAGAGCTTTATACTTTAAATACTCATCTCCACACTCTCCCAAATTATATAAGCACTAAAAATCTAAAATTGTACAACATCTAATAATAATCCTCAGTACCTTTAGAAGATGCTTTCTTTTCATGTTTTTCTGGCTTTTCAGGTTTCTCTTTGTGAATAGCTAGAAATAAATAACATCATCATTAATGGTTATTAAAAAAGAGAAATGTCACATTTTAAGTGAGAAAAAGGACAAAAAAGACAAGAAACACAAGTAGGCACCATGGCTCTCCATACAAAAAACTAGAAAGATTGATTCAGCTGCCTGCTGCCTGCTGCTGATGCCAAAAGACATGATTCGAACTTTCAAAAACTTTTCTACCATCCCTGAGGTCTCTGCCGTCTCTGGCACAACTGCAATCCCATGAAAGAAGTTAGTTAAGAAAAGTCATGCTTATTTATGTTGTTTAATGGTTCATTTTGTTTGTTTTGTTTGTCGTTTACTATTTTATTTTGGTTTATTGTTATTTTTGAGCTTTCTAGTTTATTACTTTAGTTCGTTTCTGAAGGATTTTCTGAACTCCACATTACAACTAACAGTTTTTCCAGCTATGAATGATTAAACACTATAATTAATTACAAATCTAATTGCAATGGCATTATAACTAATGCTCTTTGGGGCTTTTTGTTTGCTTTTAATTTCCACTTTACAAATTGAAATAAACTACACTGTAGTGACTAGATTTCTGGCTCAGGTTTCAGAATACACCCGAGTTGTGCAATAGTCACTGAGTGGTGGGTAGTCTGGAATATTCTCCCACGTGGGCTCTGATTTGCTAATTTTTTGCGATTAATGTTTACACAGTAACTTGTCCATGGGTGTGCAGAACTGGTATCTGTATGTTTTCGTATCCCCTAAGGTGCCCTACAGGGACCAGGTGTGTGAAAACACTCAGCTGGCTATTTGACTCCAGCATATAAGTTTCTACTAAGAACACAAAAATGTATGCATGAGCATTGCTATGTACTCTCCAGTTTTGTGTTGGTGTTTCAAAGGAAAGTAAGAATTGTGGAAGATAAAGCAGTGCTAGATACCTATGTATTGCAAGCAACTACTTAAAGAATTAATCCTACTCTATTCAATGCCTATGCAGCAGCCCTACTCAGTATTGTTTTTAAGAAGTTTTTTTCACATGGCCTGCCTCATTCCCTTTGTTTACAGGTTGTCAGGTGTTTTTCCTTGATGACCATATTATCTTAGCAACCATACTTACTGTGAGTGTTGGAAATATTCAGGCATTACTGGGAGATTATACCAATCTAGAGTATAAAATATATCATCTCCCTTCCTCAGAAAAAAACAACAAATATGCAGAAGGAATACAAAATGCTACTCAGTCTGTATGTCTGCAAACCTTTATATGATCTCATGATTTTTATTCATAAAGTTCTAAAACATTTTTTCCAATCAAGGGGATGCATAAATGGAAATTGAGTAGACAATCAGTTCTGGGGTATCTCAAAATGTAAAATAAGTTCCGACATTAAATTATTACCTGCATGCCTTTCCTTTTTTTCAGGTTTTTCTTGTCTTTCCAGTTTGTCTTTATGTGTCACTAGGGAAGAAGAAATGTGTTCATATATATTAAAAAAAACAGTGGAAAAACTTAAGAATCAAAAATAATTCTACCAAGATAAGCCTTAGGAGACAAAATGGCAAACTGTGTTGCTCCTGAGCTATCCCCTGCATATCTGCACAGCGTACATCACGCTACACGGGTGTGAGCAGACAACTCTGGCTAACAAATTACTGCGTACCATCCAAACCATGGTAATATACCTCAGCTGTTTACTACGGTAACATCATCGCTTGCAATTGTCTGTCCATTCCTGAAGAGAGATTTTCAGAAAACTGTCAAGGACTAAGGCAGAGCTCACGGTAAACGCTGCTGCCTGCACTAGGAAGAGGACATCACCTGGGCCACTCCATACTCTGTCAGGCAGAGGCTCATAAAAACCCTGGCATCAATCCTGGAGCATAAGAGCATCACATGCACAAATGACACATCTGTCACTTGCCAGCTGGCTTGAAATGGATAACCAGTAATGGATACAGATAGCTAGTAATGGATACAGAGAGCTAGTAACGGACACTAGCTGAGATCCGTCCCCGGCAATGACGATCTCAGAGCTATAATTAGATGCCCAGCATGTGCAAAGTAAAAACTAACATTATGACAGGGGAAACAGTATTATGCTATCCACTCATTCATATAACGTCTCCCGTTCACTTTTCTTAGGATTTTACACAATAATTTTCCAGACAATGGGAAATAAGCTTGTGGATTTTGGAGGACTTCAGAAAAATCAGCAGTGAAACTGCAAGCTAGCTTTAACTGTAACACCTGTGGAGATTTCATCCCCGTTTAGTAAAACTTCCTTTGTCAAACATGAGAAAATAAGGAAGTTCTTTTACAGTACCGTGAATTCCATATCTAACTGGAAGCAAAAGAAGGGTAGGGAATATTCACGCTTTCACATTTTTTTAGCAATATAGTGATGAAATACATGAGAATGAGTTCCTGACATAGCTGACTGAGTCACTTCTGATTGAGACACTTCTAATTATTCTCTGTGTCATTAGATAACTTTCCTAAACTTCATCACAGAAGGTGATTAAAAATTAGAATAGGATGTTATTTACTCTGTTATCTAAATCTTGAAGAAGGAATGTATTTAAAGTAAAAAATAAACAGTTAAAGTACAGGGATGCCATGAAACTTTGGAGTCTTCCAGTCACACTACAATGAAATGGGCCTTAGAAAGACACGTATCCATAGCCATAGTTTTAAAATATAATGTACAGTCTGAAATCAATGTTTCTTAATACTGTGAATACAGAGAATCTCTATACACAGTAGTGTTTTAGTAGCAATTGTAGCAATAGTTCACTAAAAACTAAGTAATACATTCACTTTAAGATAAAATACATTTAGGTAGACAGAATATTAGTGGGAGTTACGAAAAGTTAAGGCAGTATAATAATTCTTATTCTTAATCATTGGCTATCTGAGATTGGTTGGAATCATTTTTTCCTGTTCTAAGAAACTTTTAAAACATTAAATATTGTTCTCCTATCAAATCAAATTGAAAAGTTTCCCAAGTTTTCAAAAAAATAACAGGAGAAGTCTTAACGACACATTCATGTTTTAATATGGGACACTGTAGTCTTTGCTCTGTCATTTTTCCAAATCTCAGAAAAAATTTCTCTTGTTATCACCATGCCATTTTCTGGTAATAAATATTCATTCTAACAGAAACCTGAACTTATGTGCCTGCCATTAACCTCTAGAGTCAGTCTTGCTAACTCAATGTATTTTGAATTATTTACAGTAGAAAAGCTCCAATCAGAGACCATTAGAAAGACCTAGTTAAGCACAGATTTCAGGAAGGTGCATGTTCACTTGGGTTGTGAGACTTGTATTCTTGGTCTGAAATAAACCAGCCGTGGCTGGATATTGGGTCTTCCCTTTTTTGGGTTATTTATTATGACCACTGGCCTATTTTCTCTTTCAGAATGGGTTTCTTCCTCCAGCCTGAGACTTCATTAATCACATTTTTATGTAAAGGACATGTTCACAGGAGGCTTAAAGTGTTTTGACAAGTAGGTATCTTCCAACAAAATTCCATTTTGCCAAAAAATCCCTCACAAGAGACAAACTAGATAGTGGCTCTTGGAGCCCAGAGCTAACTGATGAGTCGTGGGTGGAGAGGAAGCAGTATCCTGATTCTGAATCCTACAACAGGCGGATCTGTAATTTGTTGTTGGCATACACCAACAGCAAATTAGCAAATCCTCTCTAACGCCCTCTCCCCAACGTCTCTGAAATGAGTCTGGGGAAATTTTTTTTCTAACGCAGGTCTCTGAAGCAGAATGCCCTGTATATTATAATTTACTCATTATGTTTTGCTCAGAAGTATTCCCAAAGACAAATATTATGCTTGGATTTTTTCAAGAAGAATAAAAAAGGCACCTATTTATGCTCTGGGCATCATTTACATAAGTTAATAATACAGTAAAAACTTACTCATTAAGCTCTGAATATAATTTTAGCCTTTCTGCAGAGCGATGAATTCAAAGTGCTTTTAAAAGCCTCATTCTCCTTCCAGCTGGCTTTCACAACACCTCCTCGATCCTTAAACATAATTGGGATTTACAAGAAGGGTCTAAAAGTCAATAGATTAGACTGTTTTGAACCACTGGGAAAAAGACAAAGAACATCAAATGCTGAATACATACCCTTTAGGGGTTCCTTCCTCTCAATCTTTTCTTGTTTTTCTCTGTGAATTACTAGAAATAATAAGAAAACCCCACAATAAATCTGGAGGTATTATGTACACTTATTATTTCACCGAAGTGATCAAGGAAAAATATTTGTAAATTCAAACAATGGATTTTAGTTCTGAGTCACAGGTACTAGATGATGTATAGACCTTCTTAATGTCAATATTTAATTCCAGGTCCAAGACAAATATTTTTCCTTGAATAAGCCTTCAGATGTTAGACCATATTTTTGCAAAATAAGTGATTGTTCAGCAACCTTAATCTAATCTGTGTATTCTCTTCTGGTCCCATTACACAAGCACCCTGACTCTAAGATTTCGGACCGAGGAAATTATTTTCAGTCCTTGACAGCATTGGTTTCTATTCTTAACAAAAACCAGCTAGCATATTACTTTCCATGCTCTTTTTTCTTTATTTTTAGCTGTTACTTCAGCCACGGGATGGATTAACAAGAAAACATCTCTTTTAATCAGAGCATAACTTCAGGAAGAGCAGCTGTTCAAACCACAACCAACTACACGACCTGCTAGATGCAGGCAAACATGAATCCTTATGGACTCTATCGCCCACCCAACTTTCAGACCCTGTTTCTGGACATGGTTGTATTCCATATCCTAATGATTTAGATAGACAAAAACATTCCTTGTCAACCTCTATCACCAAAAGACTAGCTTTTTGCAATTTCAGGGAAAAAATATTTTCTTTGCAATACTCACGTTTCTGTCAACAAGTAAAGCACAGAAAATACAACTCTGATTAGAAGACAACTGTGAGCTTTATAAACAAGCACAGTAATGTTTTTGCATACATTCATTTCAGCAGCTTTGCAGCAAATATCATTTCACAGAGGTGCAAGCATTTTTTTGTTGGTTAAGTATTTCCTCCTTATAAAATAGGTTTATGTCTTTAAGAAAAATCATTCCAAACGTTCAGTAATTTCATTATGTCTCACGTGTTCGCACTATCTAAATACATTTCCAGTCATAACAGGTAAATTATTGTTGATAACAATTAGCAGTCCAGTGGAAAGAGATTGAAGGGAGATTTTTCAAAATGGAATGTGGACAGCCAATTTACACTAAAAAACAGGCTGTGAAGAATGCAGCAGCACCAGCAATGTATTATTGAATGAACTACAGACTGTAACTCATTCAATTGCTTTAGGACATCTAGTAGCATACCAAGGAAAAGCAGTCTCCTCTCTCCCTATACCAAGTAGAACTTAGACTGAGTATTTTTGTGGAAACTGTAGCATGCTTTCACATCTTACATTTGCATTAGCAGGTGCTAGCTCTGTGCAAAACACTTCGAGCCAGCGGGTTGTCAGTTTTGGATGGGGCAATAGCACAGTTTTGCAAACAATAGCTCTGTGATGGTCAATGGCAGTGAAACATGAGCTTCTGCATATCGGACAAAAGCCCTTGTAGTCTCTATGCCAAAAAATATAGCTGAACTATGCAGAACAGACTGGCAATCAGAAAGCTTGCTTTTAGCCACAGGACATCTTACTTGTGTAAGGGAGACTGTTGCGGCTTTTTAAAATTTATTTTAGTTTCTCCATAGCATTTCCCTCTTTCATGCTTTGGAAAAAAACCCAAATGAGCCTTGAACAACACTAACTGAATTGAGTGTCAGCAGACCTTAAAGTGGACAGAAAAATATAATTTAAGGTTCCTTCACATCATCAAAATGGTATAAAGGGCTAAACCGCAAGGAAATATTAATACTTGTGTGGACTCCAAGCTAAAAACATGGAGAAGGGATCAGTTGGCTCCTTCTTGAGAAATAAAAGTAACTTGATGTATCTGGGCAGGGAGCCTGGAATGTGGATAAGCAGAGACCAGGCTGGCATAAGCATAAGCTATTTTTCTCTTCCCCATGATAGGCTGAAGGCGATCTCTGGTTAGTCCAAGAGCCCTATCCTGTGTGTTGATATCCTCATAGCCTCAGAGCTTGCTAAAGCCAGACTGTAATGTTTACCATTACCTCTTATGGACACTGTCAGAGCTATGGCTTTTGGATAGAACCTTATCCAGGGAAGGCAGGTGTTGCCAAAAATTAAAGGGTTCATGTTTCAGGGCTGTGATGACTGGCCATTTTTGACTCTTCAGTCACAGTGCGGCAGGGACACCAACGTCCACTGAAGCTTTTGATCTGACAAACTTAAATATGATTTTTCTTTTGCATATTAACTCTGTTTTTTCCCTCTGAAATTTTTTCATGCTCAGCTTCGTAGGTAGTCCTAAAAGCTCTGTCATAGAACATACTTCA